CTATGCTCCCGTCGAGTGTTGCTACAGCTGTGCGGTCTATTTCTACGTTGCATCAAGTAAAAACTTGGATGAGCACGCGCATAAATAAAGAACGCCCTATCTTGGCTCACTTGAATGTTCATCGGGATATTCACGAGTATGTGGAAAAGATAATGGAAAGATTCTCTAAGTAAAAAGCTAGGAGACTTAATTTTATATTATGAAAATATTCAGGTAAATACACTGTAAATGAGAGAATTATTTTCTGATGACTAAGAAATATTGATGTACAGATGTTTGTTTTTATTTTCTTCTTTCAGTGAGCTTAGATATGAATATATTAAAGGTAAATATTCGAACTGAGATGTGCAACAAACTCTAGTATGAATCACCAGAGATCCACCTCTGCTAAATCTAAGAAAGAACGAATAAGAAAATTGTTGGGAAGCTATAAATACATAATAGAATTGTTTGCCGGCGCGTTTCCAATTTAGAATTCAAAATGAGACGGTATTTGCGTGAATTAAAAGATCACTTCACTTTCAGCGTAAATAATACCCAAATCTGGAATCAAGAAATGAATTCTATAATCACTGCACATTTTGTTTTTCTTGTTCAAAATTTTCTTACTGGCGTAGAACCATTCACGATTGGTCAACTACGGGCACACGCACGAGAATTCAAATAAAAATAGCAAGAAAAGCAGGATTAATGCCAGGCAGAAGTGCTACTCTTATGGACACAATTGGTTCTCTTATGATAAGTGCCACAACAGAGGAGAAACAGATGAGTACAGAATGTGTAAATGTTCACGTTGTGTTCTTTATGAGTACAAAAGGTTTCAAACTAAGTGTACAAGAAGTGTGGACTACAGTATGGGCAGGAGCAGTGCACCAAGTGAAAAACACGTACCATTGCGGCTTTACAGATCACCACAGCACGGATTTTTGCCAGGTTGTTTTTAATAAATATTCTGCGCGTGTTTTAATTGCGGAAAATTAAATTTTATTAATTGCCGAAAGAAAGAACGGTCTTCATTATGTACACGAACATCATTTAAATGACATGTCATGCAGCCGGATAGAGCAAACCCAGCGGAACAAGTCAAAGACAGGTTGTTCAATTTATGATTGACATGTCCGCTTGGGACATTTAAACATTAAAGTTCTCCGGGAAGTCTTGAAGAATGGTACTTTACGCGGAATGCAGGTTGTCGATCCTGATTCTTCTTTCGACTGCAGTACCTGCCTAGAAGCTAAGATGACGCGAAAGCCATATACAGGGAAATCGATTAGAAAGCCGTCAATCGGAGAATTAATCTTCAGTGATGTTTGCTGTCCAATGCGTGTGTTTTCTATCGACAATGCACGATACGTCGCCTCTTTCATAGATGATGCAAGTCGATGTTGAGAAGTAGCATTTATAAAACACAAGAACCAAATATTTTGTAAATTCAAGAAATTCCTGCAATAGATGCTCAAAAAGGCGCAAAAATTAAAGCATTCCGTTCTGACAATGGAAGTCACATAAATAATATGTACAATCGAATTATCTCCCCGGAAGACAGGCGAAACACATGATCTATAAATTAAGTTGAGTCTTCTGTTTTTAGATTCTGTAAATCTATTACTACTTCGTTAAAATTAACTGTCTCGTAACAAAACTCTTTATAATGAAAACATACAAAGTGCATTCAATCTCTCTTCCGGCATGGTATTTCTTAAAAATGCTTATAAGTTCTCTCGGATTCTTTTATATAGCACTGTCAGCTCAGATTTCAGTTTGCTAGCTCACGAACAGAGAGTACTGTGAAACGCGATCAACCTTTTGTAGGGGGAAATTTTCTTGATATTAGGGAGTTTTAGCGCCAGGCGTAAGGAGATATCCTTAAACTCTATTGATCACGTGACTAAATCCATTATACGGTCGTAATGAACAACTTTCAGAAGAGTTTTAGCAATTGCAACATTGCGTTATGCATTATAACAAAGGGAGCATTTCATGCGTGGAACAGAGAAATTGCATAATATATCAAAGAGTGTAGGCTAGTGGTGAGACATTTAAAACACGTTACGGATCAACAGAACAACAAATATACATTGTGCAGGGAGTTTTAGATTTTGTGGTCCTCCGTGATGAGTATGCAGTCTCCTTTTCTTGAAAATATAGGAAGTACATTAAAACAGCGTTCGTTATGAGCGTAAGACAACCTATCGCGAAGATATTATTTAAACTCCTTTTTCGAGAATTACTTTCCAGTCCAATATATTCCGTTAATTCTTGCCAGCGTTGTGGAGTTGGTAAGGAATAATTGTAACTGCCTCACATACGAGAATCTGTTTACCAGAGTTGGAAAAATTAGTTTTCCTGTTTTTAGGTGGCCATTTTGTCGCTTGTAAGGTGACCGTAGAGATTCCCACAGGCGTGCACTATTTATGAAGGTATAAGGTCGTACTTTAGGCCTAAGGTAAGACGGTATGACTTCAAGGTCTGTCACGTGACTGTTAGTGCATAACGCCGGTACCTTACGCGTGGCGCTAAAACTCCCTATTGGTGGAACGTTTTACAATCAAAGGGAGAACACAAGAATGCCCCTAAAATTAAAATTGTCATTTACCCCTGTGAAATTTCCGTACAAAAGAACGATTGTTTAATTTTGATACCAGGCCGAGGTGGTCCAATTCTCTTCATGCACAGACTTGTATCACAATCAAGATTCACTGTTTTCAAGCATTTTACAGAAGTGGAAATTATTCTCAATCTCAATGCACAACACGAAATGGAGGCAAAGTTCGGAACACAGCATTCACATAGTTTTGTCTACGGATCGGAAAGACGATGCCGACCATGCCGATTGCACACTACTGCACTGAATGCTTGTGAAAGGAGAGATCAGTTAAACAGAACATCAGCAGATAGCACTGGTCTGGACGTAAATTAAGCGAAAGGATTATTGTAAGTTTAAAAATCGATCAATGGATAGCGCCGGGCAACAAGGTTGCTACCTCCCCTGTCAGGCTACTGGGCGGCGGCCGTCACAAGACACCATTTGCCGAACCTACGTTGCCATTTGAGCACTCATTGTCGGCCATTTTCATGTCAGTACGTTCCGTAACAACACTGCGTTTAAGACACAGAGAAGTGTGGCCGCAGGCAATGAAAACCGTTCAACGGAACAAGCGGGAGTTTGAAAGCTACAGATGCGTTCGATTCGAAAACAACCCTACAGTCCCACAGAGATTACTCGTATTTTAGACAGTGCAAGAGGAGAAATGCTGATCTCCGTAGGGGGGAGCAGTGTCCCTAGCGCTTCCCTACCGCAGCCGCCACTGGATTTGATGTATACTTAGGAAATTAGATCCATGAGGAAAGATCGGAAAATGTTTGGGCCATGACGATAGGTCGAAGAACGAGTATACGTCCCTGAGTGGCGAAAAGTTGTGGTCACGTGACGTTAAATTTTTAGGTAAGTTTCCTACAGAAAATATAATGTTTCAAACATGACATTCTACGTAATCATACATTTCCCAACAATATACAAGCGTCAAGTTGTGACGATCAGAGTAATGTGTCTCTGAGTACAATCACTCAAACCTCAAGCAAGCCACTTTGTTCTGTGAGCGATCATCTGAGTGATCGAAGTGAAGAAGGGAACTTACACATCAATGGTAACAACACAAGCAACACGTCCTGATGTATCTCACAGTGTCAGTGTTTTAAGCCAATACAATGGCAATTTTGGGAAACTGCATTGGTAAGCGACAAAAACGGTACTCAGATATTTGGAGGTCATTATCGATCAATGCATTACCTTCGAACCCGCTAAAGAAACTAAAAAGCTCAATGGATTTGTCGATACCGCTTGGGCATCATAGACTCGTACATCGTTTACAAGGTTTGTTTTTTAAAATGACAGGGGGCCTGTATCCTGGGTATCAAGGAAGCAATGAACAGTGGCGTTGTCATCGACTGCGGCGGAATACATGTCCCTTAGCGAGGTAACCAAGGACTTTGTACTAAAATCGTTTGTCCACGAATCAACACCCTCTCTATATGTGGTATTGCTACGGATACCTTCATCCGTTCATTTACCGGTAAAGCTCATGAACGATATATATATAATTAAAACAAAGGTTTATATAATTAAAGGAAAACAAAGGGCGTACAATTTTATGGTTTAGAAATACACTATTTAAGATATGTTGATGATATAGGAATATTAGCCAGTTCAAGACAATATTTACAGAACATGATAAATAGCCTCGCAAGAATACTGCAAAGGTTCCTCAAATTCATGACATCTGCGAAAGGGAAAAATTACATATCAAACACAATAATGTTAGATACAACAGAAATAGAACATGTACACTACTTATTGCTATTTAGGCTGCACTTTAATAGAAGACATCAAAAGCACAACAGAAAGAAGAAAGTTTATTACACTAGCAATGAAGTCGCACCAAAATAAAATAAATTTGCTCACAAATACCAACTTAAATTTGAATGTTAGAAAGAAAGTTATGGAAAGTTATATCTGGAGTGCCCCATTATACAGTTGAAAGGATAGACGCTTTTACAAACGGACAGGAGTCGCTTAGAAGCTCGCGAAATGTGGTTGTTTCAAAAAATACTGAAGGTTGTTTGGACTGAAAACATTTCAAACAAAAGCAAAATTCTCTGGACACATTTTTAGGCATAATGAACTCTTAAATACAATTTCGGAATGCAAAATAATTGGAAAAAGAGGAAGGAGACCTAAAATAAATATTTTGGAACAACTTCTAACCCAATTACAATTAAAAAAACTATGCTATGAAAAGGACAGCAGAGTCATGGCGACAGCGACAAGGCACTTTGCCTTTGGAATGATGATGATGATGATGATGATGTTGATGTACTGTACAATTATTTGAATAATCTGAACATTTCCGAAAATGAAGTGAGCACTCCCCTATTTAGTTCGGATTCCCGTCGTTCTACTGTAGTATGTTATTGCAACCATATCGTGACTGTTTTTGAAACAATATTTAATTGAGTGCAGTGTTTTACGAGAATATTTTATAATTTTGGGTAGATTTGTTCAACAGCATATTTGCTGCTGTAGACCACTACTACTATATTAAGAGCGAGTAATAATATCAAGCAATCTCCTACTGAACGTTCACGTAAATCCTTTGTATTCAAAATGCTATAATTTCTTGAACGAAGTCTCTTTTTGACTTTGATCTCAGCACCTGTGAGATTTCAGAGCACCCGCATTCTTGCATATTCACTACCATTTGCTGGTGCTAGTGCTAATACCATAGAACAACTTGCATGCTAACACGTTAAATTGTACTAACACCATGGAGCAATAGTATGGAACAATTCTATGCTACATTTGTATCGCCTAGCACTCGTAATACTCTCTGACACGAAGATTGCGGTGGAGCAAGGCTCAGAATCGACAGAAGGTATTTGTAAAGTTTAGTCGAAAGATACGCTGAAAATGTTACGATCGATGCGACTGTTGCATGCTTCTTTGCGAAGCGGTGTGAATCTGACGTTCCCAAGTTCATCACGGTTAGCAAGTTCTCAAATGCCAGAATTGCAACGAGATAACGTGAACAAACGATTCTATATCGAACTGAACTTAGGTTAAGAAATTTCAAATTCCCACATATATATGTATATTTTTATCATGTTGCAGTTCTCAAGTCAATTCTTTCTGTGAAGTTTTGTACGAAGTGTTGCTTGCCTCCTATTTTGTTTCAGATAAAGCAACAATTGATTATGAACTTATTGATTCAAACACCTTGGATTTACAACATACAAATGTTCCCAACTCTCTGCAGGGGAAAGGAGTAGGAAAAATTATTGCTAAGGTATTATTTTCTCTTTTCACAATAATACTGAATATTTTTTCCTCAGTTGGGTTTGTTTGGATGGAAAACATTTTTACATAATAAGGGGATGTTACAAATTGTGTGAAATATTTTAATTTGTGATATTCAAGAATACTTTTATAAAATTAAGACTTTTTATTCTTGCTTTCTGTGTAACATCATTGTAAGATGAACATTCTGTTTTTATTCCATCCCCTTCCGACATCGTGGTAGTGCAAAGCTTTATTAAAAATTGGATAAAATTTCAAATATAATTTAAGACAATTATACAAATTGAAAAACAAAGTATTTAAAAAACTAATTTTAACTAAGGTGATAGCGAAATAAGATAGCTTACCCCTAGCCTGCCCCTAGGGGATAAAAAATGTTTGTGTTGAAAATCATAATTGAAAAGGTAAAATAATAAGTTTTTTGCAAGATTTAAATTGATTTACCCAGAGTATGACGTATAAATAAGAAGTGTTTTTTAGTTTATGTAAGTTTAAATTTTTTTACCCACATGATGCCTAAGTATGATCACGTAAATTATTTTTACAATTTTCTATAGATGATAAAGATGTTTTGAGAAATTTTTGAGGCATTTTTGTCTGGTTTTGACCCTTAAAATCAACAAGAAACAAGGGAAAAATAAAAATAAAAAAAAATTTCCTTCTTTATTTTTAGAATATCTAATGTTTTGAACAGATTATTAAAAGGACTTGATACAAATTGTAACACCGTAAATTCTCTGCAGGTTCCCAAAATTACAACCTTGTATCTTATAATTTGCATCCGACAGCTCAATATAAATAAAACAGTACTGTAATAGTTTCTTATTTATTTTCTTGAAATTGGGTTTGGTTTTATTAACTTTCAAGGTTTTTCTGTTTATTGAAAAAGATAAATAATGAAAAACAAAATTGTAAGAATAACATTATAACCAGTTGTTATTTGAATATTGAATGAATTGAGAATTTAAATAATAATATAAATTTATAAAGCAATGTTACAAATAATGTTAAATATTATTTGTAATGTTCTTAAAATATACTTTAAGTAGTCACTACATGATGCTCTCATCCATGTTTTTGATTTAGGCATCAGTTTTGAAACTTGCCATTTGGCTTTACATTGCAATGAACAGATTTATCATGTGTGTTATAGAAGTAATATTTGATACTTGCATCATCTATTTCAATGTCACCAGATGCAAAAAGTGCCTCATGACTGAATGTCACACATGCCGCATCTACCTCAGACACATTGAAGGGTATAGATTGTGTATCATCTATTTCCATATAGTAAGATTTAGAAAGCTGTAAAAAGCAATAAAGGTCTGTCAGAACTGTCAGATTCTCTGTGGATATCACAACCTTCATCTCAATCAAGTTAAGATTTTCTCAATCATCTTACATACTACAGGCTAAAGGAATTTGGAAATAGAATGAATTAAAATGCTTTTTCAGAGAACTGTTGCTACATAAAAACAATTTTTATTGTGCTCTTCATTGACTGAACTAATTAATGTACCCTTAGAAGCTCATATTAATTTTAGTAGTGACACATGTTTTTATACTGAAAGGAAATCGCAGTTGCAATGCACACTTGTTTTAAAAACTGTTCTTCATTGAACATTTGCATAATTTCAGATTATTTTCATACATGTGTCATATAGAAAACCAAGTGTTATTATTAAATAATCAAAGCAATGCAAATATTCTGGCAAGGGGGATAAAGTATAAAAACTCATTATTTTTATTTAAAATTTGAATTTGTTCAGTATTCAAATTACAACAGATTATAATATTATACTTACAATTTTGTTTTTCATTATTTATCTTTTCCAATAAATATTAAAAACAGAAAAACTATGGACATTAATAAAACAAAACCTAATTTTAAGAAAATAAATAAAATACTGTCACAGTACTGTTTTATTTATATTAAGCTGTCAGGTGCAAATTATAAGATACAAGTTTTGGGTAACTGGAGAGAATTTACAGGGTACAATTTGAATTTAGTCCTTTTTATGATCTGCATCAGAACATGAAAGATTCTTAAAAAACGAAAGAAGAAAGTATTTTTTTCTATTTTCCCCTTCTTTTTTGTTGATTGTAATGGTCAAATTTGATACATAAACACCAGAAAAAAATTCAAAACTTCTTTATCATCTATCGAAAATAACAACAATAATTAAAGTCAATATTCATCAGTGTAATGTGGATAAAAAACTTAAAACTTGCATAAGGAAATAAAAAAACCCTTTTTCTTTTTATTTACTTGGCTATCCGGGAGACGCTGTGTCCAGGACACAGGTGCCAACATTTTTTCCCCATTCTGTGACCTTTATCATTGCGTAGTTATTGCAATAACTATGCTCTGATGAAGGTCACAGAATGAGGACTGAAGCATTGACACGGATAGCCAAATTAATACTGACTCCGAGTACGGAAGCCTAAGCCCTCACTTTTTTGTCAGGTAAATTTATTTAAATCTGGTTCAATACTTGTTTTTTCAATGGCAATTTTCAACACAAAAAATTTTTATTTCCTGAGCTCAGTTTTGCCTCTCTTATTCCATGCCCCCATTGTAATTGAACAGCTTTCTACAAAAAGGGATTGTATGACTTGGTTACTTTTCCAGGAATTGTTTTATTTGGACCTCTATCTTGTGTAGAATAAAACCTGGGATGCCTGGAACGGAGCAACTTCCTTCAGACCCTGACTTATTTCGGACTCTGAATTTATTTTTCAAAGATAAATAAATAATTCAAATTCCACCGCTATAAGTTATTTCTATTCCATGGAGAAATTATTTCTATTTACATATTTGGGAGCGGAATATTTGTTTGAATTAGGGGTCCTCATAAGTCTTACTACCCCAAGCCTTTTGCTTTCTCTAGGCACTCTTGAATAAAACATGATAAAATTTGAATAAGAGAGGTCAAATAAAAAGATTTCTGGAAAAGCAGTCCACAGATCTATAATTCCAGAAAGCTCCTCAATTAAGTAATATTATCTTTTACTATAAAAATGTAGGGAAAGTAACATCAAACACGTGCCTTCCCCTCTCCATTTGCTTTTGTTATAATTGTGGGGCCCTTTTCCATTTTTTAATAACCCCCAATGTGCTTAGAGTTTATTATGGAACAGATATTTTCATGTTCCTTTATTTTTTCATTTCTTTCTTTCTTTCTTTAATAAAGTGCATCATTAAAAAAAATAAAGATAAATTATAATGGCTTAAGGTTTTACCATAAACTTTTGTACTTCAGTCTCATGATACCGGGTCTTTATTTCAACTATGTTTGAGAGCATCTGTTCTTGTTTTGGCAATTTGGCAACCGTGTGACTTTGCCTTCTTTGAAGATAACAGTTACTGGCATGTCAAGACAACAGAGGAGGAGATGAGTTTCAGGTCATAAGCTGCAGCAAACTTTCTGGTTTCTATGTTTTTCCCATGCAAAAGTTAAGGCGTGGATCACACGCCCGAAACTATTCATGGTGTGCAGGGTGGGTGGGGTGGGCAAAGACATGAGCAGGCAAACAAAACATCTCTTTAAGCAATTCTGTCCAGTATGTTTAAGAAACAAATCTGTAATACTGAACATGTGGAGGGTAGTTATGACTGATTTATTGATTAATTTACAGCGATGTAATAATAATTATTATTTAATGAAAGTCAGCTTGGAGAGAAATTAGAAAGATATCTTGTGAAACATTACTGCCTAGCTGTTCCTTATTTATATCAATAATTATGAATTTATAACAATAATTATAATAACAATGATGGAACCTGCAAATTAAACAAATGAAAACAAATCTTAATAAAATATAAATAAATAGTAAATTAATAATTATTGAAAATAATTTGTAAAAAGTAATAAAATATTATTTCCTAAAAATGATAATATACTGACTTTATAGAGTAAATCCACAATGTACAACCACTTGCCAAGAGAGGCATTTATTCTTTTCAGCATAGAGGCTGCAACACATTAAAGAGTAACAAGGACAGAATAAGTGCTTTCTCTTTGTTCCAACTAAAATTAGCCATATTTTTCCTACCTGAAATCTGAGGTCATGCGGCCGGGTTCACTAAAAGAGACAGGGGTGCTGAAGGTATTTCACACATTGCAAAACAAGAACAGAGGCTCCCAGACACTTCATGCAAGTTAAAATGGAGACCTGGTATAAGCTGATCTAATGCTTTAGTTTTATCTGGCTGTGTGATACACATTGGATTTATCATTAATTTACATTGTTAAATATTTCCCCTTAGTGTATTCAGTAAGAAATATCGTTTCATCAAATAAGTCCATCATTCTACTTGAGGAAAAAGTACTCTTATTCAGCATCTTGTAATTGACTTGTGTTAAAAGTCCATGATAGGTAAATTTAAAGGAATATTGGCCTTTGACTTCATTGTGTACAGAAACATATAAAAGTTCAGGTATCTTATTTATTTCGCATATTAATTAATTTGGTTCAGGAAGTTGGGTTAATTGAAAAACTGCTTTCTTACAATTGTGCAACTATTCCTTATTTCAGGAAAACTATATTAGAAAATGTAATATAATTATTTCTTTTCTAGGAAGTATTTGAATATTGCAAAACAAATGGCATAAAAATGAAATTAACTTGTGAATTCCTTCAGAAGTTTTATGAAGATAACAAGAATGATTACACTACATCTATAATCTAAACACTGTCCTAGACTTTCTTAGTGTAGTTGGATGGTGGTGGTTTTTTTCCTGTTGCCTTGCTTCTAATTGTTGTTAATAGGCTCTCAGTACTCTTTTTAATTAAAAAACATTTGTATCAGCATTTACACTAATAAATATTTTTATATTGAATTCTATTTTGTTTAATTTGCACAACACCTTTTCTTTCCTTAGTATTGCTAATTTTTTGCAAAATTACATAGCACATGTCACTCTTCTGGAAGAAAAACGTCACATTTAAAAAATGCTCTTGTATTATAATGTTGCTTTAAACATCACAAAATAGGCACTGAGGGGGAGTTTCTTAATCCTTCGTGCTTGAAAAGTTAAATAAACCTAATTCATGTATTTGTTGACAGAAGCCATAAGTGTTTTTGTGTTGGTTGAATGACCCTTCTCCAATTGAAGGTTTTTTGACTTGTAACATTTTTCTTCCAGAACAATATTAATGTATTATGGAGATTTCACGTTATTTAAGTCTGATATAGTTTACTTCCTAAGATTTTCTTGGCACTCATACTTCTATTATTCTATTATGTTTTGTGCACAGCGTTTATTCAATGCATATTTTCTCAAATTTGAAGGGGTCAGAGCAACATAGCGATAAGTCTTGTTTTCATACTTTTTATAAGCAAAAGAGAAAAGCAAATTTGTGTAATTGAAAATGGAGTAACTGACAGCAACATTTTACTCCACCATGAACTAAGCCTGGGGCCTTCTGACCTGACAGATGCTTGTACGGTCTGAGTTATTAAACATTAACATTACCCTTGTAACAGTTTATCTGTCTTATGTAACCCAGGTGATGCTACTAACATAGTAGTTAGTTCCGTTTTATTTGTTTAAAATTCAATTCAATCTGTTTATACAGAGGATGAAAGCAATGAATTTGATTATGTGAGGCATTGAGGAAAATAGTGGCTCAATCTTCACTGGCAGAAATAGAGAAAACAAGGCTGGAATATTCCATCAAAAAATAATAATTTATCTATTATATAACATCAGAATAATAAAACACACATGATGTAATATAGCTCAAAGATTTCATAGGTGCTTTGCCTTACTTCAAAGTGATAGTAGTCCAAAGGAAAGTGTGTTGTCTGTCTTTGAACCTTATCTTTCAAAAATGGGTAAGAGTCAATTTATTGAAACACCAGTTGATGTTTTTCTCTACCTATTCATTATTATTATTATTATAATTTTTGTTCAATAGTATTGAAACTATAAGCTGCCTTAAATTATATAATATTACACATGTTCAATTTTCTTTGTAGACAAAAATTGCTCAGAGAATGGGAAAGTTCAAAATATAAATATTGTAACGAAAATTCTGATCAATCTTTATCTCTATTAGGTAATGGCAACAACCATAGGTTAATGTGTTTAGATAGGTATGGTTCATTAATGGTATGAATAGCAAATGGATATATTTATTTTTGCAAGTAATTTCTTACGTTCAATATTGGGAAGTTCAAATATCTTACTTTATTTCTGCATATTGCCTTCATTGCTCCACATTCAAGGTAAATCGATATCCTTGTATGGATGTTAATAGAAACAACCACAAATAAGAAGCAACAATGGCTCAATATGTTTCGGGGTTGGTTGGGCCTTTACTGCCATTCAGAACATATCAGAACGATCAAGCCACTTGTAATGGTGGCTGTCAGAATCTGGTTTAGGTCAGTGTTACATCTTTTTTCATGAATTTTGCTGCATTCTTGTGACCTAATCTCACAATATGTATTTTAGCAAGTTAGGCCACTGTTCTGTTTTGCACCTGAGTAAATGCAGACTGAGAACTTGCACATGCTGACTGCAGAATTTCACAGTTGGTTTGTAAACTTACTGCTGCTTTCTACACTCATATTGTAGTTCAATGAAGATGTTTGTGTAGAGAGAGATTTTTTTCCATTAATAAGAATCAAGAGAATGATTATTTTAGTTTATTTTGTTACAAAAGATGTTGATTGAATTTCAGAAGCTCAGAATTCCTTTTTAACTAATTTCCACAGTTCAAAAATATTTTTTTTCTTTTCTTGCAGGTATAAAAACAGCAACAAAAAAACATGAGGTCTGAAGGAAGAGAGATTATTGCAAAAATATTTTATTGCTGCCGTGAGAAATATTATCATGGTATGCAATGCACAGCTTTGGAAGGTTTAAAAAAATTTGCTAATGATCCTGTTTTCCAACTGTACAATGGTTTATCCTTGACTCTTAGCAAAAGAGTTCAAGAAGGTATTCGAGAATTGGATTCACTACAAAATGACCAAGAAGTCAAATTAGGAGCAATACTAGCCTTAATGTTTGCTCATCGACAGTGTGCTACAGTAGATAAAGAAGCTCTTCTGCAACTTGATTCCAAATTAAAGGAAGAGCGAAAGCAAGCAAATGAAACCAACCTTTATCATGCAACTGCTGTTTATTTGTGTACTGGACGTCCAGATAAAGCTCGGGAGTATGTTGATAAATTGTTAAAATTTAATCCTGAATCACCTGATGGATTGTCATTAAAGGGATGGGTAGAAATATCAGCAGGAAAAGATGGTAAAATTCAGGACGCGGCACGGTTATTTGATTCAGCAGTGAAGTTCAGTAAACAGCGAAATATTGATGCAATGTTAGGAAAATCGCGTTTTTGTGAACTTGAAAATGATTATGAAGGAGCAATAAGTATTTTGAACCAGTTAATTGTTGCATTTCCATCTTTGACATTACCATTAATAGAGAAGATGAAAAATCAACTAGCTCTTCTTGATTGGGAGCAGGCAACAGAAACTGCTCAAAGAATTCTCAGTATTGATTCTCATTCTTTGGAAGCTTTGAAAGCTAAACTTCTCACAACAATTTGCAGAGATGGAAACTATGAAGATGCTGCTTTGAACATTCGAAGGTATTTTTCAGAAATGGAGAAAATGGAACCCAAAAATGTTGAATTATTTCTAGACAGTGCTCAACTTTTTTCACGAATATGTGGACGAAATTCCCTTGTTCTTGCTGAAACATATCGATTTGCTGAGAAAGCTGCACAACTAGACCCAACAAATCCAGGAGCAATCACTGAATTGGGTTATCAATGCCTTTTACAAGGAAAAATAAAAGAAGCCACCAAATATTACCGTAATGCTACAAAACTTGATGATTCTTCAATATCTGCTCTCTCTGGCTTTACTCGGTGTCAACTTTTAGATGGAGGTACGAGAGATCAAGCTATTCAGCAAGTTGAATTTTTACGAGAGGTTCAAGGTTCTCAGCCAACACCTGAACTTTTGATGATGTCTGCACAGTTGGTATCTAATGATGCTGATAGAGCTTTGTCTTACCTTAACGAAGCAGTGGACTCTCATTTTAGATCTTTGAGAGCTATGCCATATGGACCCAAATATTTGAAAAATCTTGATCCAGATTTTCTTTTACAAATAGTGAAAGAGTACTTATCTCACACACCTGTTCAGCCATCAACAGGTGTAAATGGTAATGCTTTCATTTCAGGTCAACTCCTTCCCATTCCTCTGAAACAAAGTCTGACAATTCTTGAAGCAGTAACTAAGGCATGCCCTGGCCTTCTTGAAGGATTATTTCAACTGGCAAGAGTACAGTTTCTCAGTGGTGATCTCAAAGCAGCAGTATCAACTCTCCAACACATTTTAGAAGATATTGATGCTGCCTATGCTAATGCTCATTTACTAATGGCACAAATTCATACTCAGCAAGGAAATTATCAGCGTGCAGAGCAAAGTCTTGAAGTTGGCTTAAGTTACAATTTCAAAGTGCGAGATCACCCACTGTATCATTTTATTACAGCTTTAGTTCACAAAAAACAAGGCCATATGGATGAATGCATTCAAACACTGAAAACAGCAATGACACTTTGTGGTTTTAAAACAAATAATGACGGTTCACGCACAGATGGTTTTATTTCACAAGAACTCTCTCTGCCTGACAAAGTCTCTCTTTTTCTTGAATTAGCTGAGGTATATCAAGAGGTAAATTCAATAAATGAGGCTTCTAAAGTAATGCAAGATGCTTTAGAACTTTTTAGTGGTACTTCAGAAGAGGGACGCGTTACAGTTGCAAATGCTGATTTAGCTTTACACAGAGGGGATGCTAAGTTAGCCTTAGATATTCTTCAAACTGTCAAACCAAATCATCCGTATTATCAACAGGCACATTGTAAAATGGCTGATATTCATCTCCATTTTCGTAAAGATCGACGAGCTTTTGCTGAATGCTTCAGAGAACTAGTTGAAAATGCTCCTGGACCTCAAAGTTATGTGATGTTGGGAGATGCCTACATGTCAATTCAGGAACCAGATAGAGCAATTGATGCTTATGAACAAGCGTTGAAACGTAATCCTCGAGATTCTATTTTGGCTTGCAAAATGGGAAAAGCACTTATCAAAACTCACCAATATGGTAAAGCAATAAATTATTATAAGGAAGCTGTTAAAGGTGATGATAATTCAGATCTTAAATTAGATATGTCAGAACTTTATATGAAACTGGGCCAATATGATAAAGCTGAAAAAGTATTAATGCAAGAATTAGATAGCAAAACTGATTTTAGTGATGTTCAGATTTTAATAGGAAGAACAAAGGTACTACTTTTATTAGCCAAAGTACGTGAAAAGTCTGGAAATACCCATGCTGCTCTTGACACCCTACAAGAAGCTCATAACAATCAAAATAGGGTGTTAAAGCGAATATCTGTTGATGATAAAAGTGAAGTTCAGAAACAAGTGGCTGCAAACATTTGTCAGCAGATGGCTGATCATGCAAGTACATTGAGAGATTATGATTCAGCAATACACCATTATAAAGAAGCATTGGTTTACAAGTCCACTGATAAACCAATATTGGTGGCACTGGCTAAACTTTATATGCAGGTATCTTCTGTAACAAATATTATTAATTTATATATATAATTATTTTCCTTTCCTTTCCTTATCTTTCCTTTCTTTTTTAATTACCTTTATCCTTGAACAAGCTACATTTGGTTGTAGTGAAAACTTAATTGACCTCAAAACAACTTATCATTGTAGTTAATATTTGAAAAATTATTTTCACTATTCAGTTTGCATGAATTTTCATTGTTTATAAACTTATTACTTATTATTACAGTTGATATTCAGAATTGTAATTTAAAAAGTGATCTACTTTGTATTTCATCGAAATTAAAACGTTCATTGGATAATCCCAATTGGAGCAAATGCTGAGATGGCCCCTTGTTTTGCTTCTGGACATAAATGTAACTTCAAATTAACTTCTCCCCATAGCACATCATACATAGTTTTTAACTGATTTTGACGTAAATAAATAAATATATCCCTCTAATGTACATCAGACAGTCTTGTTTTTCTACCTCTTCACATCAGTACATTAAAAACGTTTTATGTGATTATTAGAGAGTTGTTAAATAAGCTTACATGTTCATGTTTTGCAGGTTAATGATCTGGAACAGTGTCAAATGACCTGTATGACTTTATTGAAAATGGATGCTGACAATGAAGCAGCCAGTATAATGATGGCTGATTTAGCTTTTCGAAGAGTGGATTTTGAAACTGCTGCATTTCATTTTCAACAACTGCTTTCTCGAAGACCAGATTATTGGACAGCATTAGCCAGATTGGTGGAAGTAATGCGACGAACAGGAAATTTAAATGATGTTCCACCATACCTCAGTCGAGCTCAAGTTGTTTGTGCAAGATCTACTTATGAAGCTGGCCTAGCATACTGTGAAGGCCTTTTTGAATGGTATTCTGGAAATACAAACGAAGCATTACGTCAATTTAATAATGCACGCAGAGATCAAGAATGGGGCCAACAAGCAATATACAACATGATAGAAATTTGTCTCAATCCAGATGATGAAACATTAGGAAGTGAAGCTTTCCCAGACACAGATGATGAATTTATGCGTGATTCACGTGAAATGGCTTTGAGAACTGCGGAACGTCTACTTAAGGAACTGCGACCTCGACCAGGAGGAGGTGGTGATGAGGCATTTAATCATAGATTATTGGCAAATTTCTGGCTGCTTGCTACTCGACAGAAGCCAAATGTGGAGAGAGCTCTACAAGATTTCACAACTCTAGCTACAATGGATACTTATCGAGATCATGTTGGCATAACTCTTGGTTTGGCTACTGCCTATATGATGTTAAAACAGACTCCCAGAGCACGAAATCAACTTAAACGTGTAGCTAAAAATAATTGGAATTTTGAGGATGCTGAATATCTTGAACGTTGTTGGTTGTTACTAGCCGATATTTACATTCAAAATGGAAAATATGATATGGCTAGTGAGTTATTGAAGAGAGTCTTACAACACAATAAGGGCTGTACCAAAGCATATGAATATGCAGGATTTGTTGCAGAAAAAGATCAGTCATATCGTGAAGCTGCCTGTCAATATGAACGAGCTTGGAAATTTGGTGGGTGTTCTAATCCTGCTATTGGATATAAACTTGCATTTAATTACATGAAAGGAAAACGTCACGCTGATGCTATTGATGTTTGTCAGCAAGTATTGCATGTACAACCAGATTATCCAAGAATCCGAAAAGAGATTTTGGATAAATGCAGGAATAACATTCGGACATAAAACACTGAAAGTAAAAACAAAAGGATCATTGATGCAAAATTATTGTTAAAAATGATAATATATTGTTCAAAAAGTGGTTAGAACTTGTTTGTATGGTGTAGGAGCATGTGCACGTCTGTTTCTTGTCAGTAGTTCATGATTTTTTTCCTTCCATATTGTTTTGAGACTCTTCTAGCTCTGCTAATTTAGATTTGTCTCTGTAGCAAACAACAGTAACACTTTTGATAAAAAAAGAAATTGAATCTTTTGGAACAAACATTCAACTGTTATTAAAGGTTTTAGTGAGAACAATTTGAAATATGTGGCAGTGTAACCAGACTTATTTACTAAAACAATATTTATTGCCAGTATGATAATATATTAGTGATATTTTCGTTTAATTAGTTCTATAACAGAGATGTGGCAGATTGCTTTACTAATTACTTATAGTAAGTGTATGTGTTACCACAAAAATATGAAATGCATCTTATTTACAAATTAGTCATGTAATTTGCCTATTATCCAGACAGTTTGGATAAAACCAAATGAATGACAATTAATAGATCATTTCGGAGCATTATTCATTGTGCTGACTTAAGTACAGTGATTGTCTGGGTGTAAGGTGTCTTGTGTGTGGAGAAGAAAATATTTTTTCCAAGGGCCAAAACAATCTAAAACAAGAGGTATGTTTAACTACATTTCTGAGTCCCTTAGTAATTAAATTAAATTTACTATTATGAGAATAAAATTATAACTTTTATGATTCAGTTATTAAATACATTGATATTATGTTGAACCATTTGTAGGATTGCCAGATGGCTTGGAGAGTCTTTCCTTAAATCTCATGTAACAATTCTTGAAATCGTCAGGTTGAAAAGAAGAATAAGTAGAGGTGTAACATATTTATGGAAATAAAATGTTTTATTATTTAAGAGTTCCAGACCCCCTTCCAAATTTTCACTGCAGCCACAGCCTCCCAGTGCCTGTGATTTTGGCATAAAAATCCATTGGAAATTGCGTTGCATGAACTCAACATTGTTTTATGTAAATCATGAAGACTGGAAACTTGACTCCCCAACTCAGAAATGCATAGGGCATTGCTGAGGAAAAATATTTAGTTAGATGATATTGTGTGAATAGAAGTTTTTACATAACACTCAACATTATTCACCTTCACTCTCACTATCCTTAGAAACTTTCCACTTGCAGTCTTACTCCTGTTTATACAGAAAAGCTGCTATTTTAATGTCACTGACACATCACCTACCCATGTTGACCCGTATTGGCAAATATCCATTTTATATGGCTTGGCTTCCAAAATAGGCTTTGAAGCTGTTTCTACTTTTGATTTTACCCACCCATTTTAGATAATGTGTAAATTAACTGATAATTAATTCATGAGTTAACCAGATTGGAGCATTAGTTGTAATATACACTAATACATTTTCAATGTTATTTGTCGTGTCTTTTTGAGTATGCAGATAATTCCCCTGTATGTTCACCAATATTCTCAAACCAAGAAGTTTGCTCCTTATAAAAGAAAATCATGTATGTCCCTAATGAGGAATATGCCAATTATGACATTACTAGTAAATTATTGTGTCAGAACATTCTGAAATTGTTTGTTACACTCAGACCAAACCAAATATCAATTATCACATGTGTCCATGATATTAATAATAATTGTGTTTTAATAGTGTATTATAATTAAAACTGCAATAAATATATATAAATTTTTAATAAATCCTGAAACTCCTTTTTCCATTTAAAATAATGTTTCAGACTAATCAACATTTTTAGCTGAAACGAAAGCAGGGGCACCTAGAGACTGATTCTTGAACCTACTTGTTCCAGCAGATCACTATCCGGGTCTCATTTCTGATTAGTTTTGCGCATGCGCAGAGTGAAAGTACGTAAAATTCTCCGTGATTGTTTGCTGGAACAAGCATACGGGAACATTGGTGACGCAACCACATAGGTGGGAAATCTTGTCGCTGAGCGCTGTGAAACATAGCACGAGGACAGAGGCAATCCGAGGGAAATATCAATATTCTGTCTGACGCACCTGGAACTTAATTTTATGACTTTCGCTAGTTATTGAAAGTAACGAAGCTCATTCAATTATTGGGGGTATTCAATGCTTTGTTTATATTTGGAGAATTTGTTTTCATTTGAAATTAGGTTTGTTGATTCAAAAAGTACATTTGATGAGTTCTTTGTGTAAATATGGTCATTCTAGATGGAAGTTCCTTCGTGTCTCGCGTAAGCCAGTCTGCCTGCAGCTGGCCATCTAGCAGTTTGCGAGCGTTTTTGTGAATACGAATGTGTGTAGAAAATATTGCGTTATTGCGATAGGAGAAACGGAGGTAATGAGGGTCACTTTGTTTTTCAATATAAATTAGTGGTGGCCCATGCAGGGGGCTCTGTGTACCCTCATAAAATTCCGTGAGATCAAAATTTGTATTTCAGCTGAATGAAGAGGTTTTTGTTGTCTTAAGTGGGACTTCTGCTATGAATTTCATCAAGTATTTAGTTGACAGTGCGAAGGTCTGATGCGCCGCGTCATGTCTCCGCGTAGCGAGCTAGGAGGCTCAGAAAGCTTCCTCAGAGAATCCCCGAGCGACCTGAAATGATAGCGAGGAGAGACGTGAAGCCATCTATTAAATTAATTACAAAAAACAACAATGGGTCGTCATAAATACTTGTTCTGAAGGCACCCCCCCCCCGCTTCGCTCAGCATGTGTTCGACCGCATTTATGCGGGAGCTAAGCGGATTATTACCCTCGTTTTCTGTCGGCGGGCTCACAGCACATCCGGTGGTGGAGTCGTCGGCCTGCGTTCTGGAGCGGGTCGCCCCCTTTCAGGCAGAGGCGGTGAACACAGGGGGCTCCCAGCGTGACCTGATGTCGCCGCGCTTCCTGGGGCCCACTACTTCAACCAGCATCGCCAACCTCAGGCAGCAACAGAGTTCATCGGCGATGATTGATTGGAAGCCAATCAACTTCCGTATCAGCAGTCGTGGGTGATTGTCATAACGCGGTAAATTAACTTTAGGCGCGAGACTGCATCCCTTTTCGCCTGAATTTCTGACAGAGTGCGCAAGGAGTCAACTTCCCTCCGCAAGAGGCTTCGAATGCTACCTGAGGTCAAGTGAGCAAGCAAAGTGAAGTTAATAACTTGAGTTTCAGTCAATGCATAACTGAACTCAAGTGAATACTTGGAGCCAAGTTAAAAAAATCTAGTGACTACTCATAGCCATGTCACGAAATCGAATGGTTACTCATGGCCGAGCTAAAAACTCCAACGAACACTCGTGACCGAATCAAGAAAACAAGTCGAATCGAGTGCTCGTGGCCGAACTATCAATTCGAAATCGACCACTCGTGGCCGAGTTATGAAATCGAATCACTACAGAGCGGCGGCCTGGTAACAGCAAACCTCGGTACCCCCTCCCTCAAACAACATGTATCCTCCCGATACGCGGGGTTGATTTTCGCGGAGCAGGGTGGAGGCGTGTGTCTAACCAATCACACGGGAACCCTTTTCTCAACGGCCAGAATGTCCGTTGCTGTCATAAAAAAACTACGGGCCTGTTTTCTTCGCATCCGCACGTGCGCCGCTGACCGTTGGGTCGTAAATTTGTCTCCCGAGAGGGTCGCAAATTAGGCGTATGGGTTGCTTTTAGGACCCTTCCCCCGGCGCGCCGCAGCGCGGCGCGTAGACAGAAGCATTCGTTGTGAATGAAGGCCTTCACCACGTGCAGCGGGTAGGCGGCTGCGGCGACAGCCGAACGCGAACTCCAGCTACGCAGAAGCGGAAGAAGGGCACCGACCGCATAACACAGGCTTTACCATTAAGCTCGCACGCAGCACGCCGCAGCGTTTCTACCTGCTCCGTCCTGTTGTGTCCGTCGTCGCTCTTGAGGTCGGGCGGAAACGATACCTCCCAGAGCCCCACCGCCCTTTCGCACGCGGCGCGGGCGGTGGCCGTGGCTCTCGGCTGGTGGCTGCGTTCTGGAAGAGCTCTGTTCCTGAAGGAAGGCGCGCCGCGAGCCGCGCAGCGTGGGAAGCCGCCCCTTACGTGCGGTGCGGGGTTGGAATAGGGGACACGAACTGTGACATTTGGCGTGAGGACCGCGGCTGCCGACAGACTCCTCTTCGGCACTCGCGGGGGTCTGCCATAAAATCTCTTACAACCCCTCGCCTCAATAGCCGAACGGGCGCGGGTACCTACGACCCCCTTTCGCAGCTGCGTCGCGGGCGTCTGCTTCCCCCCCTTTTTTTCATGGACATTTTTCAGCGCATGAGATTGTACCGTTACAGTAGTCTTGCCTTAACCCTCCTGATTTCTAGTCTCTCATTCTTTCTTCCTATTGCTTCGGAAAGTAAGTTTACACGCTGTTCTCTGTACTCTATTCAAATATTCCTGTTGTGATTTTCTATAAGGGTCCCAACAACGGTAGCTAGCTTCTAATCGTCGGGCACGCTTGAATTTTGATCGATGCATGAAATAATGTTAGATTACTAATGTTACTAGAAATAATGTTACGAAACTTTCCTTGTGAACATGAAAGACAAATGAAATGTATTACATTGTCTTCGAAGGCTTTCTTTTCCCGATATTTGTTGTTATATAGGCCGTAACAAAATTTAGGTGATTATGCAAATTTTGAATTATGCATTTCTGCCGCTCCTCTTGCGTGCTTGCAGTTCTGCCTGTTCATTACAGAATTGGTTACTTTTGCAACTGCGCTCGCAGTCACGGCTTGCGTCAACCTTGCTTCTTCTCCGCGCCTGACTGTCCACGAAGCTGCACGAACAACGTTGTCTTTGTCTTGCTGCCCACGAAATCAGGACCTACGCTTCCCGCTCCTCACACCCTCGTTTACTTCAATCTTCGCTACTCTTGTTCTATAGCACGTCGACGTGTGATACACAGTTCTTACGTGTAATTATTAGCGGCGTAGTTTCTTTCAACACATTTGACTTGTGTTGGAGAATTCAAAATTATGATGCCTTGTGATAATTAATGTCCCGTTTTTGCGACGAATCATATTTTTCCTAACTCTTCTACAATTTCCCCTGTTCAATTAACTGTCGAACTAATGTTTAATACTGCTTAAATTCTGCTGCTGCAGCAGCTCTACAACACATCTGCCACACACGTCTGTTCACCTCGGGATCTTGTACAAGAAGGCTAGAATGGTCAGCTGCTTCTCTTCCTAAAGGGGTGACATGAAGTCACGACGGAACCCTCCGCGACGGCCATGAGCCGCGGTCGCGCCGCGGGCCAGACAACAGATCGTTTCTTACGCGAATTATTTGCCGCGCCTGTGTCGCAGGAGCCCGTTTTGACTTCGCCGAAGCATCGTGGGTGTTGTGGGGTTTCTGAGCTCGTCTCAGACGTTTGAAGCAAGCTCGAAAACCCCAAAACACCCACAATGCGTGCGCCGAAACCAGGGTAGATCACCGTGGCACAGACGCGCCGAATATTTTACCACAGAAACAGTGCTATCTGTTATCTGCGGCGCGACAGCGGCCGACTTCCAACTCATGGCAAACACGGAAGGGTTCGCTGTGACGTTACGCCATCCCTTTAAATCTCTGACTGCTCTGCCCCTTTCTGTCCCCGCAGGGGGGATCGGACTGACGGAGATTGGTTCGGTCTCTGGGGGAAAGTCAAGACGACCACCCGGACCCTAAGTTTTGCGGCAGAGCCTTGTCAGCCTGTAATGGGCACGTTAGGTTTGCATAAACCGAACGCAAGGAGGGACTACGCCACCCCTGGTGAATTTAACATCCACCCAACCCCAGTTCAATGCGTACCCCCGCCGCAGGGCTAACTTGAGACACTAGCCAGGGTAGGCAGCACTTGTCCTGTCGAGCGAGGGTGGGAGCCAGAATCGAGATTTCGTAAGAGCTCCTAGGCGGACATTGGACACGCCCGCCCGGAAATAATAATGATGAAATTAAAAAATAAAATGAGTGTGAACCTGAAAGCACAGAGGCCGCGGTAGTGTGACGTCAATAATTGTGACCACATGTTAAGAAAACGTTACTCAGATTTTCAAATAATATGTGATTATTCAATCCAGAAACAAAAAGGTAACACACACTTAGTTAACTATGTATAAACCAAATCACACACCGAAAATTCCTCTACCATTTGGTGTTTAAGTCTTTTGTTACTGTTGAGGCTGCAAAATATTGCTTAAATAGGCGAGAGATCCAGCCCTAGATCTTCGTTCTTCTGGCTCAGTCGATCGTCCTCTTCCTCACTTCAGATTTTCCTTGAATTTACACCTGTTCATGCACTTTCCTTCGCGAATTTGGTGTTCGTGATTTTGACTAGTCACAGTTCGTGCACTTTAATAAACAAAATAATTAGTTCACTGAAGTCACCTCTCTCGTTTTTCTAACACGTTTCTGTTGCAAACACAGGAATATGCGCTGCCTAACAGGTATGCGAGCACTACTTCGTTTTACTAAATTATTGTACTCTCGTAGCTTACTCATTAACGGATTTCAAATTGCTTCCCGAATTTGTAGCACTACGTTGTTATAATCCCCCTCCCTTCCTAGATGAGGGAATGAGGAATTATAACTTTTGACCTTGTTTTCCCTGTCCCTGATTTTCCGTCTTTCTAATACATCATGGGATGAGGCAAGAAGGTGGTATCGCAAGATAATTATTGAAGACAATTATTAGGTATTGAAGAGAAATATTCT